ATCCGTAAAACAAAAGCTACATTTTTTTTGTAGTGTGTTAGAAAAGCAGTATATAAAAAAACAGGTGGCTTCAGTGATAGCATTGGCCCAAATTTACCAGGAGGGGAGGGACCGATGGATGCATGTGCACTGGCCTCAATCTTGTAGAGTCTCCTGGTGGAGCTGTGGCTCTGGGGGTGCTCAGCTCCTTTCTCCCAATTTCAGCTGCAGCAGGACTCTCACAGTACTTCTAACTTTCACGTTTTGGCTTCTCCTTCCACTGCTTCCACATCTGCACCATGCTTGGACGAGCAACAGGACTGTCCCTTGGCAGTAAACAGCAATCCTGGGGCACAGAGGTAGGGTACAGTATTACGGGGCGGCCTTTGGTTGGGCACATTGCTGCTTGATTGGGTGCAATTGCTGCCGCTGGGCTGTCACTGCAGTGCTAGCATGCTGCTGGGGCAGCTCGGCATGGCGAAAGCCTCTGGAGGAGGTGGGGAGCTGCTCTGTGTTGGGAGAGCCTATCAGCACCTGGAGTCACCCATTCCCAAATTACAGTTTTTAGAAGCATAAGCACTGAATAGCTTCTCTTGCAGTCCCCAAATCTTGCAAAGCTTTGTTGCAGCATTTGTTGTGTTTGAAAGGTCATCTTTATTTTTGTTTTCATTTCATTTTCATTCAAACTTAAAAACTTTAAGAGGATGAGAATTGAGCAGGTCAGCAAGGCTCACATCGCAGAAAGCTCTGTTGCCCCTTCTCTTTCTTCTCCTATCCTTTTTTTTTTTTTTTTTAATTTTCAATATAATCCAACTTTAAAACATATACAGCCATTCATCTTTGGAAAAATTATAGCTTCCTGTATCCTGTATTAGTCTACACCCTTACATGCTTTTATTTTCTGAGAGGGACAACCACTCACCTCAGACATGGACACTTGGGAAATTCTTGAGTAGGAGGAAAAGATGGAGCTCCAGGCCTCTGCGTGAGTGACCATGAGTGGATATGTGTGCATTGATGTTCCCCCAACTCTTTAAAAGCAAAATGTTTGTACTGTGTAAGCAAAGATTTCCTTATCGATTAACTAAACTGTCAGAGTGACTTACTGTCATAGAGGCAGTAAAGGCAGGAAAGGACAGCACCGTTTTTAGATTGGCTATAATTCAGATGAATTGCTTGTGTCCGATGTTACACTGTCTTCATATATTTAAGAAAAATTGCCTGAAGCTGAGGTACCAACTATGGAGATAATGTGAGATCATGTCATTGCTGTTAGAAATACCAAGACAAATATTCTGGGACCCTGAAGGACAGACTGAGAGCACCTGTGCTGGCTCCAGGAGGGTGAAGCTCTGTGTAGAGCCTGAACACTTGGACAGTGGGATGCTGCTGTTACACCAAAAGCCAGGACGGTCCTGGGTGCTGAGCAGGTGCCCTGCAGGCTGTCCAGTAAAGGACTTGGGGTATGGCTGATAAGCTTGGCCCTTTCCAAAGCACAGCTGTTTCTGCCCAGATGGTGCCCTGGGTTCTCCTTCGGGAGGAAAGGCTAATTAAAAAGGCTCGCTGTTTCTGTGACAGCTGTGAAGGTAAAGGTGATGTTTGCTCTGACGTGACAGATAAAGAAACAGCTTTGGGAGTCCCTGAGTCTGACAGACATGGAGGTGGGAGCTCGGCATCACATAGCTATGGAAGCTCTCTCCAAGCCCTCTGTTAGTCATAAGAGCAGGCAGCCTGCCTTGTCTCTGTGGCCTTTTTAGCAACAATTACAGGAAATATCCTAGGAGTCAAGGGGACAAAAGAAGGAAAGGAGCCTTCTGGAATCTTACAGAAGTGAACTGTGAAGTAAATCCCTAATGAGATCAATCATCCCCGGGCAAGTCCAAAGCTTTCACTAACTTTGAGCTCCATGGCAATGAACCAAGAAACTTTTCCCCTTCACACCAAAGCTTCCCTCCAAGCAAGGAGAAATGTGGAAGGTGACATCCTTATTAGCTGAGGTGTGCTTTTCTGCTCACGCCTCTGCAGTTCTGGCCCCAGGTTTCTGCTGCAACTGTGGTGTACAAAAAGCGCAGAGCAGCCAAGACAGAAATGTGCCTGTGGCTCTGCCTGTCCTTGCCTTTGTAAAATGAGTTTGGAAACTTCCAGTAGAGATCATAGCACGCTGCAGCCACAAAACCCAGCCTGAATGCTTGGATCATTATCAGTGTAGACATTTAGCTGTAATAGCATTGAAAATAAAACATTATCTGTACTTGCAAAGGAAGTTACTGGATGGATGTAGCATGTCTTAATCAATAACCACTGCAGATGATTTGGGTTGGGCTTCAATATATGGTGCTGGGTGCATTTATATGACACCCATATGTTCATATGACACCCAGGAGTATGTTAATTAATCGGCCAGTGTGAGTGACTTAGCAGAGGTGTTCAACATGGAGCTGCAGAGATATGTAAAGTAGGGATTGGGTGAGTGGTAAATGATGTCGGATGGTGGGAAAGGGACAGACAGAAAAAGAAGAAGGAGAAAGACAAAGTTCTGTAGGATACAAACAGAAAATGGAATGGAAGAATCAATCCATTGGAATGCAGCAGAGCTGATCTTAGAGATAGAATTAAGAACAAAAATAGGTGGGGAGCTGTGAAGGAAGAGGATACATCTGGTGGTACTGAGGACACCTGATACAGGAGGCTAAGCATGAGATAATATTCAGAATAGGTGGTGCAAATCAGGCTACAGTTGGTCTTTGGTGGAGATGAGACATTCCTGGCAATGGTGGTTGAAGGCACTTCAGAGGGGAGATGAAAATTATTGGGGCAGAAATGGGGCTGTGCTTGAACTTTTGCATCAATTCCTGGAAGACAACTAGCTGCACGGTGCTGAATTGTTGGCAGCCTTGTCACTGAGGCCATGGAGCGAGTACGTAGATGGACCATGGACTACAAATGTCCCTCGTGTTTAGGGGACGATGGTGTCAGAGAAACCAGAGCAGACTGAGACCTGTTGTAACTAACTTATGAATCCACCAGCTTTCTAGAAAAAAAGGGCATCTTTGGCAAGAACTTAGGGGAGTTTTACACTTTTCTGTATTTTTTTTTTTTTATTTAATGAAACTTGTTTGAAAATGCACTCTTCCAGACTCCATGGTTTATGTGGACTTTTTAAAGGTACTAAGCAGAGAAATAGCCAGAGAGGGACTGAGCCACAGAACCCATTCTTCCTGGCAGGCTTGTGTTGACAGAGAAGGGTGCAGCATATCCCAAGGCTGGGGAGCCGGCTCCTGGCAGACCGCTTTTGTCTCACTGCATTCCCCCATGTCACCTTCATTTGATTCTTGTAGCACTCAGTGAAGATCTTTCTGGAGTAAGGGGCTTTTCTGTTCTGCTCTGCTGCTCAGCTGCTCAGCACCAAGCGTGGGCCTGGCCCAAACCTCATATATACTTTGATTCTTCAATAAAGAGTAATAAAACACTATCAGCTTGCCAGAGGTGGTTGATATGGATGAAAAAGTTCAATTTTGAATAATGAGAAACCCGGTTTTACTTTCCTCCCTTCCTCCCTAGACCTGGAATGAGTGAAAGGACAGGCAAAATTAGAAACTGGACATTAGAGGAGGCTCTAGGAGCCACTGACATTTATCCTGGAAAAGACACATGGTATTTGGCTGGAGAGAAATGCAACACTCAGGAAAAAAATGTGTCCAGTGATGGTCTGACTAGTTCCATGGACAACCTTTGCTGCTGTTTGAGAGAAGGGCTGCACCAACCCCTGCCTGTGAGGTTTCACCCAAACTCCTCCCCAGCTGTGTGCTGCTGATCGCATGCCAGCCAGCGAGGATGCAACGGGGCCTGGGGCAGCAAAGCGGCATCAAAACAAATATCCACTTTCCTGTGTTACTGCATAGATATGAAAAATTAAATAAAAAGCAGTCACAAGAATAGCAATACCACGCGAATACTATGCTACTATGCCAGTGTTGTTTAAAGGAGATGAAATGAACAGGAAAATTAACTGCCCCTAGACTGGGCAGAGGAACACACTGATGAGCCTACATGAGTTCAGCATGCTTCCCCGTGACACCTGCTGGGCCTGATGCAGGCCCATACTCACAGTTCTGGCCATGGAAATGGTAGCTATCTAAGGAGCAGCAACAATTTTTGGAGTATTAAAAGGTGCTTCAAATTTGTTACGTGTTTATTGTAATGAAAAATGACGTTATTAGTTCAGCTGGTTGAATATCTTTATGTGAAACATTAATCTTCTGAAAAATGAGGCTCTTCAGAAAAGGACTCTGTGGATGAAGGCAAATTACTATTTTTTTAAACAAAAATTTAGTTTAAGGAAATGGAAATACTTATTTAAAAAAACGCTATATTTGTGTGAAAAATATTGGTATTTTCTCGGAGCACAGCTTACTGTGCCTATAGTCTGTAAGCTGATGATTTATTTTGCCTAACCAAAGGTAAGGAGCATTTTTCTGCTTCTGCTCAGCCAGAGATGGATTAGGCCCCAGAACAGGCTGTCTCGTTACCATTCTTTTGACATCCTTATGATGCTTTCTGAGACATTGTTTCTGTGAAGTAAACTGGAAATCAAATTATGCCCCCTTCGCCCAGCTTGCAAACAGTTTCTAGGGCTAGTTAGAGCTGCCAAATTCCTTTTGCATGCATTGTATATACCCACGATGTATCTCTGTGGATGCTGGGAGCCTGACCACCCTGTTCCTGTGCTTCCCGGGGCTGGAAGGAAAATAAGAGTTCAGTTCTCAACCAGAGGAGACATTTTCCTGCACCTGTGTACCCTCCTACACCTTAAAGTGTCTATACAGAACTTGTTTGATTGCCTACATGCAAATTCATTAATTAAATAAATTCATTAAATAAAAACAGAGCGTTCCCATATCTGTAATGTAGTAGTTCATTAATTCTACTCATATGCATGCAAATGATTGTTTCTTGGTGTAACACTGAAGCATGTCACTCAAAATTCACACAGACTATGTACAATTGAAAAAAAAAAAAGATTTTTGGATATATATTTTATTTGACAGTGGTTTAGAATATCATACAGTAAACAAGATTTCTGTAAAAGTTAATTTATCCATAGTGGTGCGTTTCATAAAAATAGTTGCTCACTTACAGCCTTTCTGTGACTATTAATACATGGAATTATATTTATAGAGATAGAGCTGTACAGGGTAAATTCACAGCTAACACTACACAGAAATATTATTTGGAATGGGGTTTAGATGATGTGCTGTCTTCACAGGTTATCGATTACAGCCGCATAAAGCAATTACTGCACAAGGAGTAGCTGTGAACTGTGCAAATTAGAGTTTATGCAAGCATAATCTCAACTGTTTTTCAGATTTCATTGTTTGCTTTCTTTATACATAAAAATAAGATACTGGGACGTGCATCTACACTACAGAAGCATTGTCCAAAATCAGATTCAATAAATTAATGGCAAATTATATTGGATTCTAGTTCAGGGGATAAAGATTTTTTTATTTCTTTTATTATTTTTTTTCCATTAAATAAGAGTTTTATAAACAGCTACATGGACTTGTGCTTTTTTAGAAACTATAGATGGACTTTCTGTTTTCTATATATAAAAAAAAAGTTGTTTGAAAGCTGCAAAATCCTTTACTTGAGGCTTTTCAAATAATTGGACAGGAGGAAACATGCCTGTAAATTTCTCAGTCCAGTGCAATGTTTGGGATGTACAGTAATGTGCTAATTTCTTGGAACAAAGCCAATCTCAATCTAATTTTTCAGCAGAGCATGTAAGGAACTAAGATTGCTAGAGAATAATAGTTTTAAAATATGTTTTTTTGACAGTATTTTTTTATTTTTTATTTTTAGAATTACCAATGTATTATTGCCCAGGATTTTGTTTTAATTTTGACAGACAAATAAGCATGTGCACATTTATACATACACACAACATCTTTTTTTTAAACAAGATAGTGACCGATTGACTGAACTTGGGCTTATTTCCTGTGAAGGCAGACTGGAATGTTTACCTGGCACTTAAGGCTTGAAATTCAAAACAGATAAGCAAAAAATGCTAAAAAAAAAAAAAATGGAGGTAGGGAAGAAATGATAATATGGAAACCATTTTTAAAAATGGAAATATATATTGAATTTACTGAACGAAGACATCAAAGACGGAATTTCAGTCTAACTATTGTTAACGTGTGCCTTAAAGGCACCTGCTCTGCCAAACATAGGGGATGGAAGGTGAGAGCATCCTAACTAAATGCAAGTGGGTATGAAACATAGCACTGTTGATAAGAGAAGCTATCATTTTCTGAAGGAGGGAAAGGCCTTTCCTTAAGGAAACTGCAGCTTTTTCTCTGTAGCAATCTTCCTTTCATTGCAAGGGCCTTGTGGATGTCTGAAGTTCTGAGCCTGGCCAATTGGCTTGAGTGTTACCTTGCAGGATTTGGGGAACCTGTAGTAAATTGCTTTGGAAAATAATTTTTGCAAATACAACTCCACCCTAACTCCTTTCCAATGTACAGAAATATGGTTTGTTCACAAAAATGGCAGTAGAAATGGTATCACAGAAACTAATCCACTAGATTCCCAACTCCTCCCGTAGCGCCCAGTGAACTATGCTACAGGGTATCACGTGGACTATCCCAAAGTGGTAACAGTGGAGATGTGTCATGGGCATACAGTTCTGAATGCTTCAAAGAAACCCTTTAACCCCTGTCTAGATATGTCGAGAACGATTTATTTACAACATTTTAGCTCCATGAAAAGATCCTCTCTCAGTTTCAGCTTGCTCCGTGCAGTTTTATTTAAGGCGATGTTCCAGTTTGCGATTGCTCTAACTTGTTCCAGTTTCTTGATATAAAGTTTGAATGAAATCCAAGTCCTTCATGCAGTGGAAAAAAATGCTAAAGCTACACTGCACTACCCTTTCTCTGATGTACTGTCCTTCATATTGTTTTGGTTTCTTCCATAGCTGCCAAAGTCCCTAAAATGGAACTGGGACTTTAGGGTCGGTTTTAAATCTCCGTGTTGACTATATGCTTTTGAACTTATTAGATACTGTGCACATTGTCATGGAATTACACACTAATGTTTTCATTCCTCAATGCTTTGTGTATAATGCGTGATAGTTAAAATAAATTAAAATAAATCAATGTGAGACAAAAACTAAGAAGAATGTTCTGCGTCGATTTGAGACAGTTAGAGGGCAACAGTCCCAGTGCTTATCTGCTCATGGCAGAAGTACCAGACTTCAGGACACTAGGTAGCTTATCCGAGCCAGGGATTTTCCATGGCCCTGGGGAGACCGTTGCCTTTCGAACTGTGGTGTTGGTGCTGCGAGTGCTAATGGAGTGGAGATGTCCCTTCCTGGGGAACTCGCTGGGTTTCCCGTCAGGGTCCCTCTGGCTGTGGTCCATATCGCTTCCAGGCGAGCTGCAGCGATTGCTGCTGTACGTCTTGGTAGCACCTGTATCAAGCCTGATGTGGTCGGGTGCTGCAGCTGACTTCTTCTCACTGGTATTTGTGGATTTGTGATCTTCTTTTTTGCTAAGAGATCCTCCCCTCTTGCTTTCCGGCTTCTTCAGCCTCCCAAACTGTTCGTCACTGGTTCCAGCACACACGTGCTCTCTCACGCCAGCCTCGATCATAACAGCTGTGTCCCACCACTTTGCTTTCTGAGGTGTGCCTGCCACCATCAGTGGTCTTATTTTTGCCTTCCGAATATCCTTTCCAAGAAGCCTCTTCGTGCTTTGACCTGTCTACCTTTTTAGGACTTGCTGACCTTTCTCTTTGTTCTCCTAACCTTTTCTTTTTGTGACCGTTCACCGAAAGCTCCTTTGGTTTCCTTACATCGTGTTCCCTCTTGATATCCCATGTTGGTTCTGGGCTTATCTGGTGAGAAGGGTCAGAGGGTGGGGCTATGTGTGATGAAGATAATGGTGAGATTATGTCGTCGAGGGAAAGAGCTACTTCCGGCAGACCTGGGGAGGTGGCAGAGGGAGCACTCCAGGAGTTTGGTTCGTCTGTTGTGACAGCAAAGAGAAGGGAGTTAAGGGTGTGTGCAGCAAGGCAGAGCACGTATTTCATACACATACACATTTTTAGCAACATCAACACCCGAACCACGCACGCGAATTAAATTCCTCGGTCTTTTAGGCGAAGTGAAACTCCCGGTGAAGTCAGTGGGGAGGAAAAAAAACAACAAAACACAATCCACCCCCAGCCAAATAAATAAAAATAAAAGAGTCGGGAGAAGAAAAAACCTCAGGGCTGGTAACTGCACATGCTGGAAACCTCGGTCTTTTTTCATACAGGTTCTCTTTTTCTCCTCCTATGTTAAATTATTCTTAAAATAATAAAGACACGTGCTCATGAAATCAAATTGCCTCTTTTGTAGCTGTATAATGGATTTCTTAGCTGGGCAATATCAGCGCTGTCTCTGAGGACAAATGAGAAGGACTTTCTGCCATCTATTAAACATGTCCCTACAAGCATATAATAATTGACAAGAATTTGTAGCCCAGATAAGGTCATCATTGAATTCTGTCTCATATTTTTTCTAAACAGATATAATATTGCAGTGTTTATGGCCCCACAATTCTTACAGGGTACTTACAGAGCTCTGCCTTTATATCACAGCGTCAGCCGCTAAGTCTCTTGGCTGTGCATTTTGAATTTCTCCTGGTTACTTAGCCTCAACACAATATGGTCAGGCTGTGCACATTCCGTTTAATTTAGCCAAAGAGACATCTCCTTTGCTGAATCATGATGATTTTCCTAACACACTGGTACAAAACACAATATTCTGAGATGGTGTCCCCAAATGTCTTTCTTTTGCATATCTGATCCTCATTGCTTTTGATTAACATTCAGGCAGACTACAAATCCATCATGACTAATGACAGCACAGCTCCTATTCTTACCCGTCTACACTGAGGTTAGAGAAATCACTGAACTTGGCTAATGTCATTCCCTATTTAGCACCATTGCCTGGCTCTGAACAGTATGAGCAATAATCTGTCAGAGATGAAGGACTGTCTCAGGGATCCATGGAAACGAGGTGGAACCTGTGGCAAGAGCTGCATATTTCTTGGGGGAGAAAATGTAACCTTCTAGCTGGAAAACAAGCCTGGGCTTCTGTGGGTCAGGACTAGCATCTCTCAGTGATGCCAACTGTCCTTTAAATGCCGCGTTTACTTTTCTCAGTGCTACGGCTACTTTCAAATTATCATAAAGATGCACATCATCTTGAAAAATGGAATGGGATTTACTGCCCAATCTGGGCTCTGCAGCTTGTTTGACTGAGACAGCACATTTAAGTTAATAGCTTGATTGAGTGATTGCTGTTTTGCAGATAAAAATAGGAGAGACAATAGTGAGGTGGGTGACGTAAGGGGAGGGAGCAGTGCAGTTAGCTGAGGAGCTATTTATTTTCCCAGATGGTGTTTGTCATATGCTTTTGCATAATGAGCATATGCGTGGAGAGGATTAGCATTTGAGAGGGGAAAAAGTACAAGTTCTGTGTAAGACAAATAAACTTTGAGCTTGGAATCTAAATGGGCTGAGGGTCTCAAATGATTTTTTTTTTTTTTTTTTAAATCACACTTTCTTACCCTCCAGTTAAGGCTGACTAATGTACCATCTGCTCCCTGCTTGGCACTGAGCAAGAAAAAATAAAAGGGAGGCTCATGCATGTAGAGTTATCAGCTCTTATGAGCTTGCCTACAAAAAGCATTTGCTTCTCCAGGCTGGTTCTTTAATTCTGTAATTCTGCAGGCTGCGGTGGCGAGAGGAGCAGACCCACCTGGGCTTTTCTTAGATCTGAAATCCAGGAGATTCTGCTTTGGTTATCCCTCAAAACAGTGATCCTTCATGGGGCCCCTGTCCCTTTGCCCAGTTTCTTTACAGGTAGCGTGGGACTAGGCAACGCAGTGGGAACCTGCCACTGTGCACCAGCGAGGTGCCTGCGCCGGCGCTGAACAAACCACCTTGGCTCTTAGCAAATTAATCCATCTGCAGCAGCGTGGAGCTCGGGACAAGCTAATTTACACTGCTTCCCTGCAGATTACGTTAGCCTGTGTTAACCTCTACTTCAGAGAGAGACGGGCGCGCAGAGACCCCGCACTCTGCCGTACCGCAAACTGCCCCGGGTGATTTTTCTCCCGTTAAGTCATCGGTACGTGAGCAGCATGAATGAAGAAAAAGGAAACAAGCTCAGCTCAGTCTGTGCTTTTTACAGCAGTGCCACACTCCATCGCACACCTCCCCAGGGTACAGGTGGGGATGAGCATTGGTCTGGCCAGCATTTTTGACTTAAGTACAGTCTTTCTTTCCTGCTAGTCGCAAAGATGATATTTTTCACTGAGGGGTAGTGAAGAGCAGAGGGCCATTATCGGGTCTCGTGCAAGGCCCTGAGAGCATCTGAAGTTACAGAAATATCTCGTTACTTTGGGAAACATCAGCTGCACATAAGTAGAGACATCAAATGGTCTGGAGCAGCAAGATGCTCTTGGGTAAGGAGTGTACTTCTGCACAAAATATGCCACTGTGCGGAAATCATCTGGTTCTCACTCAGGCAGGAGGAGGGCACTTCAAAAGCAGGGCTGCAAACACTCCTTGCTTCTCCTTTGGGGCACAAAGGACAATGTTGTACCTATTACTTATGGACACTCAGAGGAAAGCAAGTTGGGGGTAAGCAGCCTGCTGTTTTATTCCCTGGAGATGGGATAGCTGTGGGAAATCCTACCCTGATTCATTAATGGACTGTACTTCAAGACAATTGCATTTATTTATTGTTTTCAGTATTCATTTTTGGAGGGGATGGAAGAATCATCAGCTGTTGCAGTGAGAAACTATAGTGAGTTAGAACCTACCTCAGCAACAGTGAGTCAACAGGTACATATTTGTTACATGTAATAATATGTGTATGTAGTTATCTATAAGCTAGAACTTGCCATATTATAGGCATTATCAGATTTTTGGCTGTCTCCTAGAAAACCCTAACAAAATCGAAAACATAACCAACTAAGCAAGAAGTCCTGCAGCCACAGCTTAAAGGGAAATTTGGCTGTCCTGGTCCCAGGTGAGACACTGGCTGCAGTTTGATATACTGAGTTTGGCATCATCCTTGGGCAGGCACCCATATAAGCTCTATTTCCAGTGGCTGAGGGAACATCTGCCATGAAGTAAAACTGCCACTCCTATTCTCCAGCAATATGGTACTTGCAAGCAAGAACTTGAAGTGACTTTCTCTAAGCTTCAAGTGCTGTCAGCCCAAGACAGCAAAACCACAATCTAATCCACTTTTTGTTTTAAATAAAAGGAAATTAGGCTAAAAGTCATCCTCATCTTTGGTAGATGTTCATGTCAACAAGTTATGGTTCCAAGATGTCCCTGGCTAGTGAGTACAATGCTGATGATAGGGTATTGTAATTGACTGTTCTCTAATATTTGAAAATTATAGGAAAACAGCAAAACTATTATGGTGGAGCAAAGCACAGTAATACAAGTAATTTGTTGCTCAAAAGAAAAAACATTTTTAAGAGCTTTGTTTGAGCCATAAAGGTTCATTTGGACTTGTTCAACCTGCACTGAAACGATTGCTTTTCCATGACAAGCATAAACATGTGAAAAACACCAAATTTTATCCTTTGAGCAACTGAACTAATGATTTCTTTTTAGGCTTATTCTGAGGGCATAACTACACTTTGGAAAAAAAATCTTAATACATCTGAAAAGATAATGTTTTGTCCTATTTTTTAAGCTTTACATAAAACCTGTGGTGTTAAGTGCAAACATAACCTACTTTCAGTTTCTGTTCTCCCAAAGTATCTCAAAATATTTTGCAAACATACTCAACCAGAGACAGAGCAATAATTTTAATTTTTTTTTTTCCCCTCTTCAGTTCTGGGAGGAATTGAAGATTGCATTTGTTTAATAGAGCTTGAACTACTAATGCCCAAACAGCTTATAAGCAGAAGTGAAGGATATCACATTCATCTGAACCTACAGGAGAGATTTAGGGTTGATGTAGTTTTAAATTTGTATTTTACTTTGTCACTATGGATATCATACTTACTGTGGGAGAAATGATTTTCTGAAGATACACATCTCACTGAAGGCTAATAGATGCTTTCCTCCCTTCTCTGAAGGGAGAAAATCTCCCTTGACCTACCAGTTTAGACAAGATAAATGACCTGGGGGCAGCACTATCATCTGTCATTGTGACGGCATTTGATTTGGAGTAATTTAGTAGGTGCTTTCTGGGCGGCTTTTAGTTTCCAAGAGCGACTGGCATGCAGGTTGGCAGCACTTCTATGGAATGTGCTAGAATGACTCACCTACGACCTCTTTCACATAACTCCCAGGCAAGGAGCAAATTGCTAACTGAGTAAGAGACTGCACAGACACACAGACACCCTTCAGTGTGTAGGAGGATGAGAGATGATCAGAGCCATTTGGGATGAACAGTGACAAGGGGAAAGCATCACAACTAGAAGTTTTCTGTCTAAAGATGTTTTTTGTTGTTATTTGAGGTAGACCTGACACACACACGAGTTGTTTGCTTTGCTGCGTCAGCTTATGTGCTTTCAGAGGTCTGGAAATGAAGATATTACTCACATATCTACATGCTCCTCTCTTAAATAAAGCTTTATTCTTTCTCTGGATCCAGTGCTTGCTGATGGATGCATCTGAACCACCAGCAAAAGCCTAGCCTTATTGCTAATCGAGAAGAGATTTATGCCTGTCCTACTTCTGAGCTTTGCCTAGGTACCTAGTCAGAGGAAAGAGCTCAGCCTACTAATAAGTTTATTTAATTTTCTGTAATACCTGCGTTTTCATTACAGGTTGCCCTTCTAAGATTGTGTCAAATCTGTTCATGCTCTGCTTAGCTGCTCTACTTAAATCTCAGGTCAAGAGAGACAAGACTTCAGATTTGCTGCTCGGTTCTCCTTTTGTATCAAAATATTTTAAATAATTGCTTGGGAGTTTATCAAGAATGTGTGATTTTTCATCACATAAA